ATTGAAGTCAACTGCTATAGCCAGAAGTCCCGCCAGTATACTGCACGTGGGGAGGTGGCATTTTGTCTACTGATGGTGATAGAGGAACGTGGCTTTTAGGATCAACCCGCCCTTCAGGTATCTGCCAGCCGTGCATTGACCCAACCGGGGCAGTCTGAGTTCCCAACTGATTGTAGTGTATGCAAGTATGTGTGTGCGTGCGCGTATGTGCGTACGCGTGTGTGTGTCCATGTGTAAGAAACGAGTAGGGGACAACGATGAAAAAGGCAAGATAGCACGAGGTTCGTGGCCCATTTTAAGGCACTTGTCCGGCAATCGTCTGATATTGGTCGGAGAAACTACGAAAAGTCTCGGGTCAGCGTAATCGGTTGCCAGAATTTTTCATCACAGTGGTTGAATTGTACCCAGCTAAGCAAACGGCACAATCGAGACTGAACCCATGGTCTGCTCTCGCTAAATTATTCAACACACACAACACTGGTGACCTTAATCCATCTCAGCTGGTATCCGATCGTGACGAATTTTTGATACTGCCAACATAGCTGGGTCCCATTCACCCAGTCACCGGAATGCTAGCAGTCTATTCTGCCGTGCTAAGCGCAGAAGTCGTATCTGGTATTGAACTCAAACTGAGAAATTGAGGTTTAAAGTTTAACAACTTATAGAAGTGTTTGTTTCATTTCAATTGTTTTGTAAATACTTGGCTTATTTTATAAGAGTGATTTTTTGTGACATTCTTTATATGTAATTAGTAAATGCAGTTACTGCCAATTTCATTTTAAATTAGCTGCTGAAATACTAGGCTGTTTTGGTTGTACGTACCTATTGCTAGTTAAATTTATCTCCGAAGATTCGTCTAAATTAATTTAGTAAAATGTACTTACAACTGCAAAACGCTTGTAATGATTGTTGAAATTAGATGTTAAATTTTCGTTAGGTTAGGTGTATCTTCCACTAAATAGTAAATTTCAGTGTACCCTAATGTCTACAAGGCGAATTAAAATACTCAAAGTATCCTCAATAAATTACGGTTTGTAATAGAATTCTTATTGTCATGTGGCTTACTTTCAACTGAGTTCTCAACTAACCAACATACTGAAGTTCATAATTGGTAAATGAAATACGTTAAAAAGCATTTTTTTTTAATTATGTAATTCAAACTTGAAAGGAACCCCTCGTTATTTATTATCATTTGCAGGCAACTGGTTTCAAAATGTAAAGCGACTGTGGAGTTCAATTCCTGTATCTGAGCCAAGAAGATTTTTTAAAATCTTATTTTTTCTTGCCATTGTGATTCCCACTATATGCTCATATTTTTGTGGCAGTTTCATACGAGATTTTAACACCTTACTATTCAGAAAGTTAAGTTTTTTCAAAGCAGCATCGTAATCATTCTTGGAACGCAGAATGTTTCCCTCTTGTAGCCTGCAAGTGAACGATGTTGTGTTAATAGGAAATATTTTTTACATCAGGCGATCATTGCGTCTTAGCAGTGTGTAGAACAAATTACATACAACTAACTAATAACAATGACTCAGTTTGGCGAAAAAATTTAAATACGACCTTTGTGCTTAGCAGTATTGCTCTGATCAGTAGTATTCTGTGACTTGTTATCAATACCAGGCGAATGTCGAACTACTACCTTCACAAACGAGCAACGAACCGAACCTTTCCTTTCACATCCAAACTCCTCCATTCCTCTTACAGAGAGCACATCCTTACTTGCACTTCACAATCATGGACGTCGGGAGCTGAAAGCTTGTCCCAGCTGTACTCGTTGACATGCTGCGAAGGGATACCACGATGAGAAAAATCCGGACGTAGACGTGTAGGTCATCGTCGGAACTCACTTCTAGCGGGAGAGTAACAACCCTATTTCCGGAGACAGATCATACTACCCTTACGGGAGTAATGACCTCATTATCTGACGCGCCCGGAATCAATATGTACTATTCACAGCTACGATTAAGTTAGTTTTAGTTCGTAATTTAAGTGCACGCCTTCCTTTTAGTTTCTTAAGGGAGATTGTGTCATTAGAGTGTACACCCCGAAATGAATTAATAAATTCCAGCCCTCTCTGGAGTACTGCGTAGGGAAGAAGATAAAAGGAGGGATACAATTAGTGGTGCTATAAAATGGCACAGTCTCTTCTTTGTTATTTTTCTATTTCCTTTGGTCTGGGCTAGCTATTCTGACTTGCCAAATATTCTTGCTCACTGTCATCCATCGCTGCCCAAAGTAATTGTTTTGGAATTTTTCTCAATTTTTCGGTTTTCTAATTGTAGAACGGAAATATTTAAGAATATTAAAGACTAGTAAAACCCGTTAAAAAATTGCAATTTTCATTGAAAAATTTGGAGCGAATTTTTAAGAAAATGGCGTTTAAGCGTTACTGTAAATTCGAAATTTGAAGCTTTTTCCAAGATAATTTTTGGGTTTCCAAAAAAACTTCTCTTGAAGTAATTTAACTCACAAATGCAGTAGTTTACAATTTTCTGGAAGTGTGCATAACATCGTGAGAGATATTTCAAAACTAGTGGTGCTACGACAGCACATACTTTCTCGCATTATTGGAAACATCTACAGAATATTGAAGTATTGCTTTTTCTGCGCTACTAGCACTTCAGCTATTGTTTGATAACATCCCAATTCAACCAAGAAGCGAGCAACGCACTATTGCCAGCGCAGCGTTGTCAAGACTATGTATCTACCTTGTCTAATAATATCAATACAGTAATTAACATATATATGCAATTTACATAAAAAAGAATTACGAAAATTCTGGCTGCTCACTTGTGAGTTGCCATTACTCGAATAGCGTATCATTTTTCTTTTATTCATTACTCATTTCATTTTTTGGCGATCAAATGATATTAAATGGTATATAACGTACCTCACCGGGCACTGTGAAGAGTAGTATATAAAAAACCACAAACAAATATTTCTCTCATCTTGTTGAAAGGTAATTGTGATGAGAATATAAAAAATAATTGCAAACTTTGTTATTTATAATCAATTTCCATTTTTTGCAATTCTAAAGGGGGAAGGGTTCTCAAATGTCAAGGAACCGAAAATTGCGATTTAACAATTTTGCAACAATTATAGTTTTTCTCATTGAAAAAATCTATAGTAAACTGAATACTTGATAAAGTTCATGGATTGTGTATAAAAAATAATATTCAAATTAAACTCTCTTTGAGAAAACAATGAGTCTAAAATTAATGTCATTTTATCTGATATCAACGTATTTTCGAGAAAAAGAAATGTGTTAAAACAGGTGAAGTGAATGCGTTTATACATTTATTTTAATGAATTTTTTTTCATGTTCATAAAATCGTTTCATTCTATGATGTTTTATTTCAAAATATTTTCACATCTGAACTGGAAACATCCGCCATTTTCTCCTTCATAATTTAGTTAGCTCCCCCCTCCTCCCCCGTTAAGATTGGTTGCGGTGGTTTGTGAGGCCCCACCTGGGACGTTTCACTATTACAAGTATAAGGACTACCCAAGCCGTGCAAAACCTGAACTTACCCGCTGACGGTTAATTTTTGTTTCCAAACCTGTACGTAAATAGCTCTTTAAAAAGTCCATGTACAATTTGTTTGTAAAAGTTAGTTTTCGCGTTATTTCTGTTTGAAATTAATGAAACATATATGGGCGTCCTGTCGTACATACCGATAACACTGTAATATTGCTAGAAAGTATGTGTTATTGTCGAATTCGTTAAGCAATATAATTCGAAATTCTCCTTCCAAGATGTTTCATATTACTGCATGGATATTCATATTCCATTTTTAACTTACTTTTTCTTCATATGAAACAAGCTCACAAGATATTGTAGTTATATAACGGGGGTGACAATACGGAAATTAGTATAAGATTTTGTTTATTTCAAATAATAAATATGTTCATATCTTTTCAACTCTGCCTGATAGAAACCTTTTACAATGATTTTAGAAATCAGCGTGATTGTTTCCTCATTCATTCTGGAGGTATGATTCTTTTTGTTCCCTAAGGGGATTTTTGGTTAGGGAATAGTCCGCCTTGGACCACGCGTACATGCACCCTGCATTTATCGGGGCTCAGAATCATTATCTCGGTGGCAGGTGCATGGAACTTTATCAGGGGATCAGTACTTAGTTTGGTCCGATTTTGATCCTCCAGAGTTGTTAGCCCTGGGGGTACTGAAGATGAAATGATGATAGGGAGGGGTAAGAGGACGGCACACACATACAAACTCAAATACACCCAAGCGCGAGGCAGGACCCACTCCCGCGAACTTCTGGTCCGAGACCGCTACTGTCTTAGCGCGCTTGGCCATCTGATCGGCTCCCCGGTGTTATCATTATTATTATTATTATTATTATTATTATTGTAGTAGTAGTAGTACTAAAACATCTGTCTTGATTATATGTTAATTGGACAACGGGTGGACGGGCGGCTGTATACAGCCCCACAAATGTCCCAACTGTTTCCGATCTCTTCAGAGAAAATATAATTAATTATTTCCATGATTTCAGTTATAATTTCGCATGTGTCCCTTTTTTTGATTTTCCTACTAACATCAAATCTAAACTTCCAAATATGATTCATTTCACTTCTTGACAATCATATTTTTACTAAAAACAGTATTTTAAACGCAATTTTTTATACTCTTGTAGTGAAACTGTAAACTTATTTTAATCGTTGACTCACCTAATTACTTCTCAGATTAAGACTGAGGTTGCTTTAACTGATGTTCCATTAACTTGAAGCAATCCCATACACTGGTGCGATATATGTAAGCAAGTAAAAAAGATAAATCGTAAACAGGGAGTCATTCATTCCTGTTCGACAGGTTTGTGATCTTTCGAAGCATCTGGCATATGACAATTATGGCCATTCACGACAATCTGTTCTTACCGTCTCTTCCGAGATATCAGGGATCTGAACACGCTACATTAATTTTAATTTTCCTGAATGGTGAAGATAAATGTGTAATGATTTTTTCCCCTTAGGAGAGCGTGTGGCGTATGAAAACTGGAGTAGCAGGGGAGCACAGTCACCCTTCTGTGGGCAAATCAACAACGACGTCTGGCTGCTCTCTGCCGATTGCTCAGAATGGAGAATGTTTGTCTGCGAATATGACCTTCGGCCACGTACGTTATCTGCCGCCCCAGCATCTTTGCCTGTGCCTCTGCCCACTGCCAACTGCTCCGAGGTTAAGAGACAGCTACTGCGAGACAGAGGATACGCACCTCTAGTCGGGTGGAACAAAACCTACGTCAAGGACATGGGAGAGATAAGTTCGTGGAATGAAGCAAAGATGATTTGTGAAAAAGACGGCACCCAAATGGTCACCATAGATTCTGACGAAAAAGCCGACGCTCTCTTTGCATTCATCGAGTCCTCAAATATTACCATGGATTTCTACATCGGTGTCAAGACTGGACGCCCAGTTACAGTGCTAGGTAAGTAGTTAGCTTGTAATAGGTGAGAAATGCTTCCATAATTTGCCAATATAACTCGAAACACTTTACATTTTCTGAATATAATGAGTTATTCAAAATTCCAAAAACTTCAAAACAAATTAAAAAGTAATTCTGGTCTAAATAAACACTTTGTTCCAATTATTTCAAAGTGAACATGTTTAAAGTTGAGGAACAAGTTGGGAGAAACAAAATGAATTGTTGGTAATAAAACGACTCTAACTACTGTGTTATTACAAACTATTGGAAAACCGCGCAATTAAATCGTACGAGGAGATTAAAGCCGAATTCCATTTTATATCTAACATATTTTCTTCCCAATTGAACTAACGAAGATGGCTCAGAGAGATACTATATAACCAAACAATTAATGATCTTCGCATTTGCTCAAGGTATTTCACTGGATTGTTGAACTTCAATATGATTGCTATTGTTAGATTAGAAAGTACAAAAGATGTTGGTAAACAATGATCCAGCATAGTTACAAAATATTTCGTAGCATAAGAAGAGACATAAGAACATAAGAAATTGTGCAATTATTAATTACAAACCAACAAAGAGTATAGCCGAAAAACGAGGTGAAACGTGCCTCCAAACTAAATTGATAGTTGTGGTACTCATATGAAAGAGAATACAAAATGTCGAAGATCCCCAAAAAATAAGCCTCTTAGGGCAATCTGTTACGGAGATACAATGAGAAACGGTTTTCATGTTTAATTTTTTCTCGGCTTCTATTGAATCTATTATCCTGAAAAAATTGGAGGGACGGAGATAAATAGATTTTTTTGAAGGTATTTTTGTCAACCAATTTTCACACCAAAATCAAATACAAAAAAAGTTTGAAATTGATTTTCGACGCTGATAACGCTGAATTACTCTGTCAGTGTTTCCCTAGACTGTGTCTCAGATTTTTTAACAATGTATTCGATAGTGAAAATAATTAAAATCAATTTTATCAGTTCTACATTTGAAACTCGCGCCAAAATGTGATTTGGAAAATTGTTTCAGCAATTTTCAAGCCATGTATATTTAAGTTATTGAAAAGTCTCATTTATCAGCATGATTTGCAAACATTGTGCTGACAAATGTTTGTTTCTGATGTGGAAAATATAATGTTATCGTAATAAAATAAAAAAAAACTCCTTGTTTTTAGATTTATGTATTGTTTCTAATATAAATCAAATTACTCTGTTTAGGTATAAAAATCATTCATCTTTATAATATAAATTAAATTAGTTAGATGTAGGTTTCTTAATCAAGTAACGAGCGTGTACCTAATAATTTTTTATTAGGTCGCAGGTGCGACGTCCCTTCCCGCGTTCACAACAATATCGTTGCACTCCCGATATGGGAGTTTTCCATGGTTACACTTTCCATAGTAAAATAGATGGGTGGGCCTTTCCGATGCGCCGATTTTTGCTTGATCTGCACAGCTTGCGTACCACGTGACCACAACACGGGCGCTTCGTTTCAAGAGCCATACCAAACGGCCGCTGTGTTGCATGGGGAGCCAGAAGTGTTGAGAAACTTTTGAAAGGGGCATAAAGTGGCAATTTTGACGGTGGCCAACCACAAATAACACGATGGTGTAATTGATATAAAAGATGCAATATTTAAACAAATACTTAGGTTTTTCTTTCAATGACTTGTAACTGTGGTATTGGAAATTCCCTTTAATAGTACAACCCAAACAGGTGCCTGAGGCTCATTGGCTGAAGAAGGATACGATGCGCAAGAGACCAGCCATCTCTTTCTACAATGGATATTCCGATAGAGTTTGGTACATAATCAGTGTAAAACATATAGCATTTTGAGTTCATATGTCATGATTGAATCTGTGTTTAAATATTGGTAAAAAAAAGAAAAACTAACACCTTTTGGGGCGAATTTCAAATTTTTGTACTGATAAAATTGGTTGTAATTATTTTTCACTATCGTCCAGTGTTTAAAAATCTGAAAACAAATGTTATAGAATGTTATGAGACACATTGTAGGGGAAAAACTGAGACTACTTCATCGTTAGCACGTCGAAAACAGTTTCATTTTTTTTCTTTTTGAATGTTTCAAAATGTGGTAGTGCATTCACTAATTCATTCCAGACCCATATAATTATTATTTTACCCCAAATATAAACAAATGATAGTAGTAATTCTATTATCTTACTTGGTCTCTATATACTAAACGTAAAAATAACAAATAGAACCAACAACAAAATTAAAGAAATAGGCAAATACTCAAAATTTTACGTAAGGCAAATATATCAAATTTCCGTACTACGAATTCAAACAAAATCAAAAGAAAATTGCCAAAATAAAATAAAACAAAATACAAAATATATTACACAAAAAGTGGAAACCAAAACAATTTAACCACTTATAAATACAATTCTAGAATAGTCTGCCCTAAACATTAAAATTCACTAAGAAAATTATGTTAACACAGAAACAATGTTAAAACTAGTGGTGCTCCAACAGGACATACTTCTCGCGATATTGCTAATAGCTTTGTAATATCCGGCAATTTCTCTCATGTACTTCAATTCCCGTTTGAAAAATTCTTAAACAAACAAAGCATGAAAATTTCGTATATTTTTATTTTCGCTCTTTCTTAAGAAGGTACTGCTTAAGAGAAAGTTATGTAATTCTGCACGAAAAAACGGCGAATTTTTGGCAGAAAAACTCTTTTTACAGGGCTTTGGTAACAAAAATGTAAATAAATCAGTTGCTAAATTTAGAAAAAATTCTTTAACACTTGGTGTAGCCAGAATCCATGATTTGTGGGTCATTCATACCGAAAAGTCGATTGACGACGAAGCGTCTGTCTGCCTGCCAGCCGATTTTCACCAAAATTGATATTGAAACAATTATATGAGTCGTCGTAGCCAAGTATTGTTTATTACAAATAGCAGCTTTCGATGGCTTAACCATCATCATCAGTTTTCTAGTACAAGAAAAAACATTTAAGAGTGAATCAAAAAAATAACATTAGAATATATAGATTACTAATAATTTAATTTTTTAGAAAATATAAGCAACATTTAAAGAACAGAACGAAAGAAACGGAAGTGTAAAATCATTTGTTATTATAAGTAAGTGAATAAAATTGAATATGAGTATGTGAAATTTTTGAAACAAAAAGAAAAAAAGAAGAAAACACGTGGATGAACGGACAGACACGTGGGCGGGTGGGCAGCCAAACAGGTAAACAGACTGATTCACGTGAACAGACAAGCACATGGACAGACGGACAGATACGTGGCCAGAAAGAGACATGTGGACGGACTAACACCCACACGTGCAAGTCATGAATGAAAGTTTCCATTTTCAGGAGAACCCCTCGAGGACAAAGGATATCAGCGCTGGGCAAAGAAGGATCACAAGGAAATTTGTTTCCACTCCGACATAAAACTCCAGTATTATCCTGGTACTTGTGGTGCTCCCTCAAATAATTATTATCACACGACGCGATATAGGTCCATATGTCAAGCAAATGTCATTTAATCGAATTTGTGTCGTTGCCTACAAAAAAGACTACAGCCAAAATGACTACAGCCATTATTTTACAAATTCATTTGTCACCTCTGTATACAAAATTATAATTTAACAATATTTAATAACTCTACTAAACATCAATAATTAAAGCTTTACATATTGTATGTGTTATTTAAAAAAATTTGCAGATTATTTTTCGTAGTTTTATGAAAATAAATTGGAAAATGTATCCAAAACTGCTTGACGGACAAAATATATTTGCAAAAGAAATAGGTTGACAAAAACTACGAATTATGTGTTCATTATATTGCACACAAGTTTTGGACATTAAGATGATTCATTTAAAGTTGTTTTTTCTTGAAGCAACGTTTATTTTGTATTATAATCACTGTATTGCAAAGAGAATTTCTTGACTCACTAGTATTCACACATATGCTTAAACAATGTTTTAGATTACAGAAACTTTGAGTAGAATTGTGTATCAAATAAATATGTTTCTTGATTTCTGATTTTATTTCAAAACCTTTTCTATCGTAAGCATTCTGAGATGTATGTCATCTTAATGACAAATAATGCATTTAATTTATAGAATGAATACAATCTACGGAAGTAAATTCGGCTAGTGAGAAGAAACGAGAGGTAATGTAACATTTCACTACTATACATGATTTACTCCAATAATATTTTATAATAAAGTGACATTTTATTTAAATCTATATTTCATATAATAATGGGATTTATTACAATATAACGAAGGGTATTAGTAGTAAGCAGTAACAAAGGGTGACAGCATCGCTTCGAAGTGCTATAGAAACAAAGGTACCAAGGATCGATGAAGGAAAAAAGTTTTATTGAGGAGAGAAAAACTAGCAGATGTTTGTGTGCCGTGGGTGAGTGAAGATGTGTGTGGAGGAAAGAATGCACGAGGTACAACTTAATAATAATAATAATAATAATAATTTTATTTTTCCAAAGAATTACATTACATTGATAGTGTACACTATTTACATACAAAAAATTAGAACAACAAAAACAATCGCCACAAAAACAACAAAACAGGCAGAAAGGATACTAATTTTGGTTGACTATATTATATTATATTGTGTCAAATCTTTTAGCAAAAATACCTTTCTTATCAAAATTTGTATATCTAGTACTCTCCAAACCCTGTCTAAGTACTTTTTGTACTTGTCAGTGAAGAGTGTGTTACTTTATATGCACTTAACAGTAAAAATTAAGATTTAGCTGAACATAGTTAACAAAATAAAATCTTGTAATGACAGTACCCAAAAGGCAAAAAGAAATCAAAATCATCAAATTATTATCTACACTAACAAACAAATAGTAAATAAATAAATGGCAGTTGGCAACAGGCAAAAATAAGTCTAAGTTATACATAATTAACATATTAAAAACTTATTGTGGCAAATCAACAAGCAAAAAGAAATCAATTTCTTTTCTAAATTAACAAATATATTATAAATAAAAGAAAACAAAAT